TGTTTCATCAGGAAATGCGGTGCACATTATTATTACATTTGTCCCCGTTCTGACGTTGTCTAGGTAATAGTCCTTAGATCTGTTTCATCAGGAAATGCGGTGCACATTATTATTACATTTGTCCCCGTTCGGACGTTGTCTAGGTAATAGTCCTTAGATCTGTTTCATCAGGAAATGCGGTGCACATTATTATTACATTTATCCCCGTTCTGACGTTGTCTATGTAATAGTCCTTAGATTTGTTTCATCAGGAAATGCGGTGCACATTATTATTACATTTATCCCCGTTCTGACGTTGTCTAGACGTCTTTGGATGCTTCTTCATGTAGTAAGATATATGTTAATAAAATCTGAAATGGAAGCTGTAATCTAATAAACAAGATAACTTTTTTTTTCTTGGTGCTCAAAGTTTATATTTTGATTAAAATTATTCAATGTTCAAGAAAATGTCAGCACGTTTTGCAAACGGATTTCCACATTCGGTCAATATTCAGATTGTTTTTCTGAATAGAAACATGGATCAGAATCTGTGAAGCCTTACGTTATTAAGATATATTATAATGGCCTTACGTTTTTATACCTTAACATTGAACCTTTAGTTATTAAGGTATATTATAATGGCCTTACGTTTTTATACCTTAACATCGAATCTTTAGTTATTAAGGTATATTATAATGGCCTTACGTTTTTATGCCTTAACATCGAACCTTTAGGTATTAAGGTATATTATAATGGCCTTACGTTTTTATGCCTTAACATCGAACCTTTAGTTATTAAGGTATATTATAATGGCCTTACGTTTTTATACCTTAACATCGAACCTTTAGTTATTAAGGTATATTATAATGTCCTTACGTTTTTATACCTTAACATCGAACCTTTAGTTATTAAGGTATATTATAATAGCCTTGCGTTTTTATACCTTAACAGTGAAGCTTTAGTTATTAAGGTATATTATAATGGCCTTACGTTTTTATGCCTTAACATCGAATCTTTAGTTATTAAGGTATATTATAATGGCCTTGCGTTTTTATACCTTAACAGTGAAGCTTTAGTTATTAAGGTATATTATAATGTCATCCATTACATAATATAAATAAAGCCTTCCTAAGTTTATGAATTTCTATAGTGGAGAATATGAGTTACATCGAATTCATTAAAGTGGCTAAAGCCAGATTTCTGGTGAAATCTAACTTATTCTAATATATCTCTGGGGTTTATTGTGGATTAGGAGTTATACTTTTCCTTCTTTTTTTTTTTACTGTCAATGAGGAGCTTGAAATTCAAAAGACTAATTATAACAACCATTTTTTATCTTTTTTTTTTTAGGATTTGGAATGACCACGCCTCAAACTATAGGAGGGAAGATATTAGTGGTCTTTTATGGATTTCTTGGTTGTTCTGGAGCATTTCTCTTCTTCAATCTGTTTCTGGAAAGAATCATCACCTTCCTCGCTTACGTCCTCAGATATTTCCATGAGATGGATTTGCGACGTAAAGGAGTAATCGGTGGAGATAGGAGAGACTCACAAGCTTCTTACGATGACACTTTAGATCAATGGAAGCCTTCCGTATACTGGGTAATGCTGTACCTTTTCTTGGCTTGTGTGGTTTTGGCCATCTGTGCTTCTGCGCTTTACTCACCCGTAGAAAAGTGGACTTATTTTGAAAGTCTTTACTTTTGTTTCGTGGCTTTCGCTACTATTGGATTCGGGGACTACGTCTCAAGTCAGCAGCCATATTATGATAACGTGGAATGGTATCGGCTGGGAAATTTTATCGTCATAGTGTGTGGGTCTTGCTTTATGTACAGCCTCTTCAACGTCACTACCATCGTCATCAAGCAGTTTCTCAACTGGCTTATTCAAAAACTGGACTGTCGCTGCACGTACCTAAAGAAAACTAAAATCCAAATTAGGCCACCAATCCCGCGAGGCCGCAGAAACGCTATCACCCCAGAACACCTTAAACATGCTAACAGAACAGCTCCCCCTAAAACAGTGGCAGACATTAGTGAACCAGATTCCACATACGACAGTGAAGGCGAGCGACGGAACTCCAACGAGATGATCTCTATGCAGGATTTCCTCAAGTCCAACAAAGTTTCACTGGCTGTGATGCAGAAAGAACTACACGAATCAGCTCTTCGTGGCCGTGCCATCATTCTTCCATCTAGACCACCAGTGGAAGAGTTCAAACCCGGAAGTGTTGGGCCACTGGCTATTGCATGCAAGAAACTTGGGGAGGACATAGCATAAGCATACAACCAGTTGCAGCCGAATCCTAGAAAAACATGACATCAATTTTTTCAACCACGGAACATGATGTGACAGTGCTTGAGGGTTGTCAATACCTCGAAGAAATCAAGGCTTATGTACACAGTGTCTGTCCTGGTGAGAAACGTGACTTTGGCCTGAAATCGTAGTTGTGATTGAAAGAGAACTAGGAAAGTTCAAGAATTCATTTATAAATTGGACATTTATCAATTCTGGGTAGAAACACGGAAACATCTGAAGTGGCAATATAACAATGTCCCATTATTGGCTATAATCTTCGAGACACTGAAGTTATGACCTGGCCATTATTCTATTTATTGTTTAATATTAAAAACAGAAACATATGCACAAAACGAAGTTATTAGCTTACTGTAGCTTGGTTTGAAAATTATATTTCAAGAAGTTTAGAAAATAACCACACGAATAATCTTTTCATGGCTAACATCACAAAATTTGGAAGGAGTTCCTCAACATGACAGCTGTTCCGACATTATAAAATAATTGAAGAATAATTGAAGAGTATTCTTCAGTATAATCTCTATATATGCGGATCTTCTCTGTATACTGATAATCAGAGGAATGTTTTCGGTAAACTTCTCGTCTTTTCTTACTACACACAGAGGGCGTCACTCTCTAAAGAAAATTAAGGTACTCACGTGTGATATTAATGATGAAAACAGTATTTATTGTCCTTGTCAATCAAAGGAAACTCGTGACAATATATTATTGTAGATACAATCCTAATTTGTTTCTACAACAATATACTGTCACGAGTTTCCTTTGATTTTATAAACTTCATCCCTACTAAATATTATGTGTATTCCGAGTCTTGAAAGATGGTTTGAATTCGTTTCTTCTCATATCTCGTTATATAGAGTATTGAAGATATACTACGACATTGTTCTCGTCTGAAGTAAGAGATAGTTAAGTTTCACATATCCACCACACGTGGTTCTCCACTTTCATTAAACGTTATTTCTAGTGTGGCATCATTCTTCACGTTTATGTCATTTTTTACTGAAACGAAAACACTTCAGAACACAAAGCCATGAAGTGCCAAAGTTGTTAACTAACATTTCTTCTCGGTGGCTGGAAGTAACAAAGCGCGCCTTGTGGCGTGTTCAGGTGCTTTGAAAGTCATAATATAAAATAGGAAGGAACAAAAACTACTCTTGACGAGTGTACTCCAATAAACATCCAGTGTGTTTCAACATTTTCAGAATTCCTTTAACCGACTTACTAACTTATCTAAAATTATCGAATTACTTCCCAAGCGCTTGCGGTTTTTTGTTGTTTTATTTTCAAGCCTATAAAAATTTATATGTGTATTGTTATAACGTGTTCCATCGTTTGGCGATCTCTTTTTGTTATTTAGTAAAAATTCTGTCTACGTGACGAATTAATTTATTTCTTCACTAATTTTAATGGGCCTACAAAAACACGCTGACCTGACTAACTAACTGGATCACAGACTCACTAACTGACATTGGTCTAAGTAACTAACACACTCAGCCTGGCATTTTTATATTGTATTAGTTTGCTATGTTCTACAGGAAGCTTCGAGATTCTAAAGAGGCCTAAACTTTCATAAAATTTCTAGACTTCACTAATCACTACTCATGTAAAAAATAAACAAACTCCTTCTAGTGGACAAAAACATTAAAATAAAGATATATCTCACAACAATAGTTTTCCCTCTCCTGTTAATGATAATAATGTTATTATTTGTAATAAACACCAATCGCCGTTTACAATCGTTCAGTTTTATGGGTTTTGACGAACACTGCTATTATATTTAATTTACCTTAAGAATAGCAGAAAACAGTGAATTAATAATTACAGATTACTCAAAAATATTAAACGATAAAGATTAATGAAGATAATAATATGAATAGTAAAGCAGTCAGTTAAGCTGAATGGTTGAATACTGACCAGTCAGAGCTTACGAAATGTGATCGTTCAAACTGTATAGTGTAACACAAAACATTTCATACGAAACACTTCATATGGACCAAGATTTATTAAAATGTTTTGTTGATATAAAAAATGTCTGCGTATTTTTTATTTCTCTTTTCATTAGACAAGATATTTGACAATTTTAACCATGCCACCCTCAAGTTTTGAATTTGAACAACAAAAGGTGACGAAGCGATGAAAATCAATAGGCCTAATATTCGTGAAAAGCTGACGAAGCGTTGAAAATCAATAGGCCTAATATTCATGATACAAATTACGCAACACTGTACGCTTTTTTTTTATTGTTTTCTCAATCCTTTTAGTTTGTATTGTGTTATTTTTGTTCCATCACAAACATAACAACAACGTTACAGAATAGGGTAGAGAGGAAAGGAGAGAACCTAGCCGAACTTGCAGAATATTTCGAAAGTCTTGCTAATTATCTTACCCGGATGCTCCCCGTTTTATGATGGATTAATTGACACGTGACGAATTTACAGAAGTCATAACACTAACAGATGAAGACATGAGAGTTAGTGAAGGAAAATAGACGTACCTTTAGAGGAAGCTCACCAGTTGACAGCTCTCCCATTCTATAGGTTATTGTTGCGTCAGCGAGGTCACGTGACTAGTGTCACGCCCCCTGCTTTCTGGAAATATCTTGTACCTTCGTGAATTGTCGGGAGATTACTAGATATAGGGTAGTCTGGTATATATAAGAGGGTGACAACGTGACGGGATAATAATAATATGTGTGTGGGTAGTGAGTAATTGAACTGCAGTCAGAGAGAGACGTATTGTTGTTATAGCGTTTGTTTTAGCCTTTATT